GCTAGGATGCCACTTTTCCCAAGAAGTGGTTCACGAAACACGTTCTAACCGGGAAGGGGGAAAACAAGAAGAATAAAACACACACAAAATCAGTTACAAAGTGTTTTGCCTGCTACGGTAGAAACTAGAGACTGATAATAGAGAAGGCAGAGTGGGAGTCTATTTGGAGGGGGGACACCTCTCCGGAGGTGACGCTTCAGGCTGAGAGGACAAGGAGCCGCCCAAGCAGAGAGTGAGGGTATAGTGGTGAGGAAAACAGACAGGTTGCAGGCCCACAGACAGGTAAAATCGGGCACAGGCACATTCCAGTTGCCAAAAGGCTGGATGGAGCTTGATGAGCTAGAAAGGGAGACATGAAACAAGACTGAGGATAGATGAAGTAGGTTAGTAAGGAGCTTGGATTACATTAGAGACACAATGTGAGTCCATTGAAAGGTTTTTTGTTTTTGCTTTTTTTTTTTTAAAGGGAGAGTGACAGGATCTTATATCCATTTTAAGACCATTTTGCTGCTGTGTGGCAAATGGATGGAGGAGAGGCGTGGAAGCTAAAAGACCAGTTAGGAGGCTTTTGCAGTATATAGACGACATGTTGGTTGTTGGTACTATGATGATAGCAGGGAAGTTTGAGAGATGTAGATGGATTCAAGATATGTTTTAGAGATAGAATTCACAGTACATGCCGAAGAACTGGATGCAGAGAACAAGGGAAAGGGGGGAATAGAGGATGGCTCAGATTATTAGCTTGTGCTAATATGAACCATAACTGGTGGTGCTGTTTACTGAGATGAGGAAAAATCAAGGTTTGGGGTGAGGGTGGGGACGATGGCAGAAGGAATAGGCTTGGGGGAGAAAATAAAGATTTATGTTTGGGATATGTTGGGAAATCTAATCCCATCCAAGCGGAGATGTCACAATAGTTATTTTAAACATGAATCATGGGTTCAGGAGAGAGGTATAAGCTAGAGATAAAAATTGGGAACTCAACAGAATGATGATATTTAAAACTGTGAGAGATTTGATCACTTAAAGTAGAGAAAGGAGCAGAGGGTCCCAAAGTGAGAAAGAAGAGAGAGAGCCAGTCAAGGAGACCGAAAAGCAGCCACCAGTGAGAGAGTGGTGTTGCAGAAGCCAAGAGTGGAATATATTTCAAGATGGAAGGAGTAGGCAAGTGAGGGGTTCCAAATGCTACTGAGGGGTAGAGTAAGAGAAGGATGGAGAATGTCCTTTATATTTGACAATCGAGGTTTCTTTCTTAGTGGAGTGGGAACAGAAGGCAGACTTTCCTAATAGTAAACAGGAGATGGGTTCAGTGTAGGCTCTTTGCTTTCTACCATCCTGTTCCTTGCTGTCATTGTCATTCTTTGTGGTGCCTCAACTGCATTGATATACACATCCAAAGAGCAGTTACTTATTCATCTAAAATAATGGTGATTACTTATGCTTATTTTAGGATCTGGGTGATGTGTTGGAGAGAGCCAAGAAGGTAAGTCAGTATCTTTAATTGTTACTAGGACACAGGTCTTTAAAAATAACAAAAACAAAAAAAAGAAAATATCTATCATTGTCCTTTTGTTTTTTATTTTTCCTACTAATTTTAAGCTAAAACATCTTGAAATTTAGATATACTGTATTGATGTTGTTTCAGTCACTAATAATAAGCAGCTTTTATTAAGTGTTTACTACGTGCCAGTCACTGAGCTAAGCCCTTTCTGAACTTTATCTCATTTAATATTTTACAACAACCTTCTGAAGAAGTTACTATTTTATAGCTAACCACTCTCCATTTTATAGATGAGGAAATTAAGGCCTAGAGATTAGTAACTAGTCCAAAGACACGTGATAGTAAAGTGATAGAAAAAAGTCTGAATTCAAAAC